TTTTTTTTTTTTTTTTTTTTTTATAAAGGTAGATAAAGATGAACATGTCCGCTTAGTAATTGGTGCTGCAGGTGGAACTAAAATCATCACCTCAATTGCAACAGCAATGATATTAAATCTTTGGTCAGGATATGATATAAAACAAGCTATTGATGTACCTAGAATTCATCATCAAGTAAGATCAAATTTCGATTCGATCGTCTGATATATTATATATTTCTAATTAATTATAAATATTTTCAAATTATAGCTATTACCAATGATTGTTCAATATGAACAAGGATTTTCTACAGACATATTAAATTATTTATCGAATATTGGACATAATATTACAACTTATACGGGAATTGGTAGTGCAATTACGGCTATATCTAAACAAAATGGACAAATATTTGCTACTTCGGATTTTCGAAGAGAAGGAAAAACTGCTGGTTTTTAAGTAATTATTTAAGTTTTTTTACCCATCAACAAAATAGCAAATAAAATGACTCAGTGCATAGATAAAATAATAATATTGCTATATACGCAAGTGATACGACATTGTTGTGATAAAATATTAGTTTATCTTCTTTTAATAATGCAATGCACATAATCTAGCTATGAAAACTGTAAGTCTCAAATGATCGTTGCGAGTCTTATAAATGCCGCATCCTAGTGTATATCTGTATTCTATAATAAATAATAATTCTTTGATCAAAGAAATGTGACAATAGAATCTTAAAAAATTATTTAAATAAGAAGTATTAGTGTATATATATATATATATTTGTATATATATATATATACACACATATATCGATATAAAATAAATTTTAAATTAATTTTTTTAAAGTATTCGAAAAATATAAGTATCAAGTAATATTAATATTGTTACATGTAAAACTATTTGCTAAAGGTGTAAATTTAAATGTAAAATAAATGTTATGTGTATATTAATAATTTATCTTAAAAAAATATACATACTTTCATTTAATTTTTAATAAATAAAAATAATATTTTAAGATGTATCATTCGATAATTTAAATTTACATTAAAATTACATTAAAAATAGAATAATATAATATATTTAAATAAAATTATGAACTACTACTATCACTTTCTGAAAGTTCAGCTTCTTTCTTTATTTTTCGTACACAACGTTTTATTTTTTTCGTTTTGTATAATCCTTGTTTAGATTTTCGAAGTACCTCGATCGCATGTAATTTATTTTTTAAAGCATTTGCTTTATCATGTTCTCTTTGCGGAATATATTCATCGACATTTTTTTCGTTAAAAGTAGGAACAGAAAAAATTTTAGGCTTAGCGCTACCAGTTAAAGTTTGTTCATTTTTCAATTCCTTCCTTTTCTTTTGATTTTCATTCGAAGATTTTTGTTTCTTCAATGACTGCAAATTTTCAATGCGTTTAAAATCTTTTATATTATCGTTGTTTAATTTTTCCACAGCTTTCTGTACTCGTTGGCTTAAATTTATTTCGATTGATTTTGGAATAGTTTGTAATTTAAAATATGCATCTATTTTATTTTGGATTTGCTTCTCTTTTAATCTGTTCAATACCGGTGTTATAATTTTGTTATATTTATCTTTGTCCCAACCAAATTTTTGTTTTGCATAATCGCCTAAAAGTATAATATTAGGTTTACCCCAACTGAAAGTTTCTTTTGATTCGTCCACCATTGGTGAAAGATATGCTTGAACAACAGCTTGACTTGGAAAACCTGTAGATAAAAACAATAATGTATTTTATAAGATAATAATAAGAGAAGTTAACTTTGTATACCTTTCTGAATTTCTAAATTTTGTAATTTGGTTCGTAAACTCGTTTTTCCAGGACCAGTAGCTTTACCATTTTCGATCCAAGAACAAAAATTTACTAAGCCTTGTAATAAATTGTCACCTTCTGAAGGAAATGCTGCTAATATTTCTAAAGCAGTAACAGGACCAATACCAGTCAAACCTGTAGTATAATCACTCCCAACTAAGAGGGCAAGACGTATCATTTCATTTCGCGTTAATTCTAAAACAAATAAAGACTAATTTAAATACAAGTATATTTTTTTTAATTAAAAAGATAATAAAACTCACTAAAATAACGTTGTATGTTGCAAGCACGAAATTCAAGAACTTTTTTATTGTTGTCGAAAAAATTTTTATAAACACATTGTCCTCCAAACAGCCAAATATCCGAATCATCTGTAATTGTACCATCGGTAAGATGAATTTGTTCTAAATATGCACATTGCGCTTCTGCTTCCATGGGCGCTACTAAATATGGTATTCCAAATAATTGTAATAATTCCTATAAATATTATATTGAAAAAAATAAATGCGTTTATTAATAATTTATTAAATTTACTAATTTACTTATTTATTAAAATTTTATTATAACATAATACCTGAGCTTCGATTCGTATTTGATCAGAAATATCGATACCTTGTCTTTCTAATTTACCAATATTTGCAATTAATTCTGTTTGCTTATCCTCTAGTTGGGCCTGAAATTAAAGTATATTAAATATTTTAATAATAAAATATTTATATATATGTGATCATCTAATCTATATATATACTTACTTACTTGTAAAGATAACAATTCATTTTCATTCATAGGTATAGGACTTATTTTTTCTATAGGATTTGACAATGCATTAATATTTATATCATCTTTAATATTTGTATTTTCTATATTATTCTTTGAAACATTTGTCACTTTTTCAATATTAGTTTTGTCTTCTATTTGATTTTCTTTTAATTGTACATTTGTGTTTAAAATATTCAGATCAATGTTAATATCTGATTGCTTATTGATATTATCAAATTTCTTTGCATTAAATAATTGATTATCTTTAATTTGATTCTTTGTTGATTCTATAACTTCTTTTTCAAAAGTAATTTTATTTTTAGATGTTTCTTTATCCAAATTTAATTTGTTATTTGATGTTTCAAATATATCTGCAAACATATCATCTTCTACTTTTTCATCAGATTTAAATGTTATTTGAATACTTTGTTGCGAAACATAATTATTAATAATAGTGTTCTCTTTTGATGTTGGTATATCTTTAATTTCTATAAAATCATCTGAATCTGAATCTGAATCTGAATCTGAATTTGTTGAATTAATTACTGTTGCAGTTTCTGATTCAAATTGTGCTTTGTTTGAAATGTTCGCAATTTTAATAGGAGATAAATTTATGTTTGTTTCAGTATTTGTTTCTGATAATATTTTTGATTCATCAATTGATTCTACAACATTTGTACAATCGAATTTCGTATACTTTTTATTGTTTTCAGACTTTGGATTTAAATGTTGCACATTTAAAAAATTATTTTTATTGTCACAATTATCTATTTTATGTGAATCAGTTTGTTCTGATATTCTTGAAGCATTTTCAACATTTTTAGACATTTCTCCATTATTTTCAAGAAGAGTAAGAATTTGTTTTTCTGTCAATCCACTATATTCCAACATATATGTTAATGCAGGATTCATAACATTTTGTTTCAAATATTTTTTCGATAATGTTCGTGATTCCCTTGATTCTGTTTCCGATTCTGTATCGTTATTCATTTCACTTATGAATTTAAAATTATTTGTAGCTGTTATTTCAATATCGCTGTCCCAATCATCATTAAGTTCATATTCATTTATATCATCACGAATCGATGTAGATTTACTAGGCCCAGCAATAACTTCATCTATTTCATGTTCATTATTCTGTGTATTTTCATTATTTGAATTAACATTGTTTTTGTTTTTAAAGTATGCATTTTTATCTACAATATAAAATTTATAAGGATAAAGAAACAAATAAAGAAGAATTAGTTTCGATTTCAATGATAAAAATTAATAAAATACCACTAATATAAATTAATCTAGTTGTATTGTCTGCAGCAATACGATGGGTATAATTTTGAATATCTGTAGGTATCCCCTGTTCTTTTAATAATTTATCTAATTCTTCTAATGTAAGTGTTTTTCCTCCCATTTCTTTTTCTGCATTTTCCAAACTTTGTTGTACTAATCTTCTTTTTAACAAACGTTTCATTTGGAAACCAGAAAATTCATTTGATTCCTAAATAAAAATATATCATATAAATATTGAAATAAATTCAAGATATTTACATTCTTGAATAAAAATATATACTTCAGGCATCTCATGCAAACGTCCCCATGAACTTTGTTTTCTTGTTTCTTTCAAATCAGTTAGAATTTCATAACGCACGTCAGCTGGTAAATCTTTAAATTCAGCGCTAGTTACATCTACATTATGAATATTTCCAATCCATTTTGTTTGTTTACGCGGACTCAATTCATCAGAAGAATCAGAATCATAAACATCATTAGAACTTGATTCTGCCTTACTTGTGCTTGGCATATTTGGTAATTTAAACATATCATCCACAGTTTGTTTATTTTGCAAACTTATAATTACTTCAGAAGATTCATTTGTATTATTTTGCATCTCAATGTTAAGTGCTGTTTTTACTGTAGAATGTTTTATTAAATTATTTATTAATTCTGTCCTCATCTGTTGGGCTTTATTCTTGGCCATAGATTTCTGTTTCCTGCGTAAAGCCTGTGAACACAAAGGAATAAGAACCTCTTTTCTCACTACCTGGTTCCCACAGTAAACTAATTATATACAGACAATATTATAATCAAGATAAAAGTACAGTTTCATTAATGCATGCATATACAATGTATGTAATATTGAAATATATAATAACTTAGATAATTAGAAAGTTAAATGAAATTAACTAATTATATTTTAATTGATATTTTTAATAAATATTTTTTAATTTATACTTTTAAAAAATCAAGATTTAATTAAAAGTATATTTACAGTTGTATTTTTTTTAAGCACTGGCACACCTCCATCAAAAACAAAGACTGGTTTAATTTTATAATACAAAAGTTTGCAAATTCTATGAAATAAACCAATAAGATGAGCATTGGGTTTCGGGTTACCAAAACGGTCCTGATATCCTTGTAATACTTGATGTATCCAAATTGATATATCTATATAAGAATCACAAAATATTTATTATATGTAAGTAGACATTAATTATATTATATTATATTATAAAGTATACTATATTAATATAATAAATTATTAATATTAAAATTAAAATTTTTTTACCAATAGCTAAGATTTTTCCTTCCAATGTTTCTAAAGGCACTTGTTCTCCTGTTGCATTAAGTAAACGCCATAAACCATAAACACCCATTATTTAAGACAACAAACCTATAACAATAAATTATATAATAAAATTATATTATGTATTAATTATATTATATTATAAATTAAATATTCTTTGATTGATATATATACAATATACACAATATTTATTTAATAAAACTATTATATTCAAGATTATGAAAATACAAAAATTATCTTTTACATTCTAAGTACAGTATTCGTTTATAAATTAGAATATTTGCTTAGAAATTAAAAAAAACAATTATTTATATTTATAATGTATTATAACCTATTATAATTATATATAAAAATATAAAATAATATAAAATATTGTGAAAATACTTACTTATATATAATATATATAGTAATTTTATATGTAAGAATCATTAAATATATAAAAGAATCATTAAGTTATTTACTTTTTATATAGTTTTAATTTTTCAATGATTCGAATCCGCATGCTTACAGATGTCGCAGTAGAACAGTTAGCAAGTTAGCTTAAATCAGCTGATCAAAATAATATATTCATATATATTATTCATATCATTATTCATATGTACTACATTTATATTTGTATATGATGTAGTATATTCAAAATTTGTAATACGTTCTAAAAATTATTCTAAATTGTGAGAAAAGAAATATTTTAATCATATTATTTTAAATTCGTTTTAATATTTCAATTATCATAAAGTAATAATATTTCCTGAGTTTTAAATTATCTTATTTGAAATTATATTTTTATAAATTG